CCCCCGCTTGCCACAACTAGAGAAAGCCCTCGCACAGAAATGAAGACGCAACACAGCAAAAATAAATAAATTAATTAATAAACTCCTACCCCCAACCTCTTCTTTAAAAAAAAAAAAATTGAAATTTGGCTGAGAAAAGTTGTACCCTCTATGCATGAGAAAAACATTTTTCTGCAGAGAACTTTGAGCAAGGGAAGGACTCAGACGCCTCAGGTGAGTTGGCTGACCTGGAGAATGGGATCTGAGGGCTGTAGTGGGTGTGAGCTGGAATGGCTTTTCTGACAGCTACTGAAAGCTCTGAATAAGATGGTTAGACAAGGTCTTGGCAGAAGGAAGGAAGCCTCCTCGGGAAGGAAGCAGAGAGTCACTCTTCTGCCCTCCTTACCTGCCCCTGGGTTTCCTCTCTGCTTCCCCTCTGGCCCCTCAATCAATCTGCTCGCAAAGCAGGGCTATTTGTCGGATTAAGCACTGACTGACCTTAAGCCAATTTGTTGTTTCTCTCAGGAGTATTTGCATTTTAAATCTCATCTCTGTTAGGGAATAAAACGAGATTTTTTTTTTTTTTTTTTTGCGGCGGCCCTCTCACTGTTGTGGCCTCTCCCGTTGCGGAGCACAGGCTCCAGACGCGCAGGCTCAGCGGCCATGGTTCACGGGCCCAGCCGCTCCGCGGCATGTGGGATCCTCCCGGACCGGGGCACGCACCCGCGTCCCCTGCATCGGCAGGCGGACCCTCAACCACTGCGCCACCAGGGAAGCCCAGAGATTTTGTTGATTGTCAAATGGATTCCAGCATTTGACACTCAGGCGGAGGAGGTGCGGGGCGTCTTTCCTGACCTCCCCGCCTTGCTATAAACCACTCTAAGGTGCTCTCTTCCCCACATGCACCGTTTGGGCCTGAGGAGGAATGTATTGGTGCTTTTGCGAAGCCTTTGCCCTCACAGGAGGAGTGGGAGAATGGACCAAAAACCCAAAGGATGGAGGAGCATCCCCTCGCCTTTCTCCTGCTTGTTGCCCCCTCTGCCAGAGCGAATCCAGGTGCTGTCCTGGGGGTCTATGCAGAGTCTTGCGGTTTTGTCCACTTTTCTGGGATGGGGACAGTTGGGGGGCATGACTCCCTTGCTGTGGGGACTACCTGGAGATTTTAGCACTGGAGAAATTTCCCTAAGTTAGTTTCACAAAGCGTGACTGAGCTGCCGGGATGAGGGGTACTCCAGCTGTGTGCATGCACAATTGCAGGTGATTCAGAGACCAGCTTCTCCCCGTGTTCTGACTGCCAGTGCAGGCTTCTGGTGATGAGACTCACCTCAGGGGTTCCCACCCTGCCTTCACATGTCCAACCCCTGGGACTCAGAGGAGGCTTGTTCTATCCCGGGAAACCTCACGAAGCAGAGGTGACAGGAGCTGTGATTTTGGGGTGCGTGTGCTTCAGCATGGCGGAGCAGACAGAGAACAGCCTGAGCAAGCAACCACTGTGGCAGAGGGTGTGTCAAGGAATTTGCAGAATCCTTTCTCTTTGGACACTAAATAAGGAGGACAAAGGTGGTATGTGGCTATCAAAAATTCAGTCAGCTAGTCAGTCAACAAACATTTAACGGGTACTTCCTATGTACTGGGCACAGGGGATAAGGAGATAAAAGAAAGGTCTGTTTTCTGTGTGAACAAAGTCAAGGTGAGGAGAAAGGCAAGTACATAATCAACTATAATACAGAGTGTGGAAGATTGTATTTCCCCCAAATGGCCACAGTATTTGTTCTAAAATATGGTATATTAATAGAAAATCTGAGGCATAGCTAAGAGATCAGGGGATAGTTACCACTGAAAAGAGAGTTTGTTATACTCACAGATTCCAAGAGGAGGGTGCGAGCCCTGCCACGAGGGGCCACATGGGAAAGCACCAGTGTCATCAAGATGGCAGAGGGAGAGAGAAAATGTGGGTCCGAGCCTTTCTAGTGGTTTCTGTGGGAAGGAACCGTGAGGCAGGAAAGACAGGCTTATGAGTGGCTAGTTTGAATGATTTCATCAGACGCTGGGGCATAGGGGCTGCCCTCATGGTCTGGTACCAGGCCCTGGGGTGATTAGGGCAGGTACACAGTGGCCCAGAGTGTGAGAGCTGATAAGGGGGATGGTTGGGTATGGGCTCTGGATTGGCTGGTGTGTGTTTGAAAAGTGCACTTGCGGGTAAGTTGTTGATTATCTCTAGGAATTGGTTAACCCTGGGAGGGCAGTCTCTCCAAGGTCAGCAAGGCCCCAGATATCAAAGCATCAGAATACAGAAAATAAAAGACATGGCTAATACAGTATTATTTCTGGTCCTACATGCTTTTTCAGATCCTGCCACTGCCTCCTCAAAAGGGGAGTCTAGGGCTTCCCTGGTGGCGCAGTGGTTGGGAGTCTGCCTGCCAATGCAGGGGACACGGGTTCGTACCCCAGTCCGGGAAGATCCCACATGCCGCGGAGCGGCTGGGCCTGTGAGCCATGGCCGCTGAGCCTGCGCGTCCGGAGCCTGTGCTCTGCAACCGGAGAGGCCACAACAGTGAGAGGCCCGCGTACCGCAAAAAAAAAAAAAAAAAAAAAAGGGGAGTCTATTTCCTCTGATCTTGAGCTTGGAGGACCTTTGTGATGGCCTCAATGAATAGACTGGAGGAAGTAACACTGTGTGGCTTCCAAGGTTAGGTCATTCAAGGTGATATGGTTCCCACCTGGCTCTTTTCCTGTTGGAACACTTGTCCCTGGAATTCAGCCCCCATAAGGAAGCCCAAGGCGCCTGTAGAGGCCACAGGCCTGTGTTCTGATCGAGAGCCCCAGTGACGGTCCCAGTTGTTGCCTGTGTCTAGCACAGGGCATGTGAGTGAATATGGCTTAAGATCCCAGTCCCCAGCCTCCAAGCCACCCCAGCTGATGCCGGCAAAAGCAGAGAAAAGCCGTCCTCACCGAGCCTGTCCAAACGCAGATTCATGAGCAAAAAAAAATGGTGTCATTACTTTCAGCCACTGGTCTTGGGGCGGTTTGTTGCACAGCAGTAGGTAAATGGGACACGGGATAAGATGATGCTGGGTTCAGGGGTAGCGCAGGATGTTTGGAGTTTTCATGAGGGGGGTAGGGATGGGAATAAGGATGGAGACAGGTCAGAAAAGGCAACATACAGTTAATAATAGTAACCAAAGGACTTCCCCGGCGGTCCACTGGTTAAGACTGCGTGCTTCCACTGCAGGGGGCACGGGTTCAATCCCTGGTTGGGGAACTGAGATCCTGCATGCTGCCCAGATCAGCCAAAAGAAAAAAAAAAATTATAGTAACTGAGTTGAGACCTTACTACATGTGTAAGCACTATTTTAAGCACTTTAAGTTCATCTGTTTCCACTCCCAACACTTCTGACACCAAAGGTATGGGATTTTTTTTCTCACACCAACCAACCCTCCAACTCTCTAGATACCAGCTGGGTATCCTACAGTTCGATTCAGTTCTAACAGTAACCACCTGGGGTTAGTGAAGACACTGCAGGTTAAGGGTTCAACCCCCCAAGATTGCCTGCCTCACTCCCTCCACCTGCAAGGCCCAGGTTACGACCTATACTTCTGAACAACCGGCTATAAATCACAGTTCCTACCGCCTCCCCGCCCCCCCCCCCCGCCCCTTCTCAGGTTCCATACTTCGCTAGAATGGCTCACAGAACTCAGGAAAAGTTAAGTACTGTTACCAGTTTAGTATAAAACCCACAACTCAGGAGCAGCCAATGGAAGAGATGCGTAAGGCAGGGGATGGGGACACGGCATCCTCCCAGCACTTTCATGTGATCACCAACCTGGAGACTCTCAGAACCCATCATTTAGGGGTTTTTGTTATGCAGGCTTGATTGGCCAAATCACTGTCCGTTGGTGATTGAAGTCAACCTCTAGCCTTCCTTACTTCCCCGGAGGTTGGGGGTAGGGCTGAGAGTTCCAATCCTCTGGCCATCAGCCCCCATCCCCGGGGCTATCTAAGGGCTCACCAAATGCCACCTCATTAGCATAAACTCAGGTATGGTTGAAAGGGGTTTATTAGGAATAACCAGAAAAGCTCCTATCACTCAGGAAATTCCAAAGGCTTTAGAAGCTCTGTGTCAGGAGCCTGGGAGAAGATGAAATGTCTATTTCCTACTGTATCACAGTGCATTCATTTCATCCTTCCAACAAGCCTATGGTGTCAGTACTATTCCTACTGGGGCTGGGGAAACTAAACTCAGAAAGTCACCCAGCTAGAGGAGCCCATAGAACTGGAATTTCTATCAGGTAGCCTGACTTCAAGTGCATGCTGTTAACTGCTAAATTTTGTTGGTTTATTGATTCCACGGCCTCTTTCTTTATCACAGAAATAACAGGGACCATTCGTTCACTCAGTTAACAAACATTTATCGAGTGTGTGCTTTGAGCTGATTCTGAAGAATGAACAAGCGTTAGAAGGCTTACAGGAGAAGGAGGATACGATGCTCTAACAACAGAGAGAAAAACCTGGTGCCTTTTACTTTAACCTTTTTATTTTGAAATAAAGATCAATTTATAGGAAGTTGTCAAAAGAATGTCAGGGAGTTCCCGTGCACCCAACAGCCCTTCTCTCCTGAAGCTGGCGGTGAAACGGGAGTCCCCCTAAAACCAAGTTCCTCTGCTGAGTTTGTGATTAATCTCTCTACCCAAAACTTCATTCCCTTTCTTGTCCCACCCCCTGTTCCCTTCAACATGGAGGAGTATCACAGAAAAAAGGGGCCTTCCCGGGTACAAAAGCCCCTCCACGCGTGTCCCTCCCCCCAACGCACACTCTAGTTTGTAGAAACAGTACTTAGTCTCTCAGGACTTCCCAGAGGTCCAAAGAGCCGATTCAAGCCCTTACTAATTGGGGATGTGAGGGAATGTAGAAACAAAGGAAAAACAGTCAAGGAACAACCGTTCGGCGAGAAAGCAGAGTCCTAGCTCCTCCTCAGGGATGTACATAATAATCTGACGTGTGTCTTTGTGTTGTTCTGCAGGCACGAAGGCCCTCACCCAGGTGGAGGATGGTGACTCCATGCTGAGACCCCAGACTTCTGTTAGAACCTTCCTAAGCATGGACTTGCAGAGCTGAAAGGAAGAGAGAGGATGTGGACAGCGGGTGAGAATACGTGGCTGTGGAAGGGGTGCAGGCGATGGCCACCCTGACCTGCGACCTATGACCTAGGCCAGTCTTCCTCCTCCCCTTCCTGGGCACTGCCTCTCGAGCTGCTGCCCCTCGATCACGGGCTTCCCAGCTTTGCTGCTCTCCTCCCCACCCCCCCGCCCTCTGGCCCATCTGACTGTGGAAACAATTGCGAAGGATTATTGTATCGGGGTTTTATATAATATGGAGTGAAGTGTGGAGCACACCCTTACAGTTTGTCTCATTTTCTTCCTGTCACTGAAGCAAAGTATTGAGAAGAGGAAGTCATTTTACAGTTGCCGCAGCTGCTACTGAATTTAGATTGGAAAAATGATTTGCGCGAGCAAAGTGGAGATCAGGTAAGTCCCATGAATTTGTTCCTTAAAAAAATGTGTTTGTTAGAGAGAGGACGGGACCAGGGAAGGAGCTTTGCCAGCTTCTGTGCACCAACCTTAGAGACGCACTGGGCTGATAGGAAAGGTGAAGGCCTTTCAGCCCTTCTGTGTCTGATAAAACCCTTTCCCTTTTCTCCATCTCATTTAATCCTCGCAGTGAGAAGGGTACGGTCGACTAGGGGTTACAGTATGTCCAGCTTATAAATACAGAGAATGAAAGATACACAGCTAACAGGGAGAGGGTCCATCTCCAACCCCTGAATGCACCTAAGAGCCTCTGCTCTTCGGATGACCCTTTGAGTGTATGTGGTCCCACTAATCTTCAGATGAGATTCACACTTTGAAGAGAAGCAGGGAATTTGCCATTTATTTGCCATTTATTTCATGCTCATTTTGTGCCAGGAACAGGGAAGGGGTGGCTTACGTTAGTTAGCTCATTTAATCCAAGACCTGAGAACACCAGGACCCAAGAACAAAAGCCTTCTGCAGGGCTGGATTTTAATAAGACAGGCAATGATCACAGTTGCTTTCGGAGGCCTGGGCTTCACTAGGACGGAGTCTTTCTCCTCCTTCTGAGCTGCGTGCTCCCGGGAGATAGAAGCTCCACTCCTGTTGCTGTTTATTAAGTCAGGGCTGGGCCTTGCACGCTGGGGCCCATGTCTCCATGAGCTTCTGCAGCCCCTGGTAGATGTGAGGCCCCTGTGACTTGCTGCAGCTACTCCCCCATCATGGGCCCTTGTCCTGCAGGCTCACCAGGACCTCCAGGCCCTGCGGAATCTCTACCAGGTGTTTCCAAGAGCGCTCAGGAGTGTCCCGCAGGCGCTACTGACAAGGCTGGCCCTACTCTGGGCCTGCTCTGCCTTGTCTCCTGGGGGCTGGGCCCCTGGGTGTCTGTGCTCAGCACTTCTCTGTGAAGGGACTGCCTATTCTGAGCAGCAAGTGCCCCATGTTTCTCAAAGTTTCAGCAACACGGCTTCTCGGCTTCTTCCGGAACGCCTGGTCACCTTCTGTCACCTTAGGACACAGTTTCGAGTGCCAGATCCTCGTGAGAAGGAACTCTGACACCCAGGGTGCTTGACTCACGCCCCTGAATGACCCCAAGTTCCAGGCGGGGACTCAGGGTCAACCCACCTCTCTGCAGATGGCCGTGGCTGCTTACTGGGTCAAGCTCAAGGGCCTGGCTCCTTCCGGGCTCTGGGCGAGGTCTCTCTATACTATTAATAACTGATAGGGGACTGTCAGTTATTTATACCCCCCTCGATACTAAAATGTGAGTCACTGATAAAAAGCAGTCAGCCATTGTTGATTATCCACACTGTGCCAGGCCCGATGCTGGGAGCTGTACGCACGTTACCTGCTTTTAATCCCCAGAATGACCTGAGATGCACCATTTACCACCCGTGGGGTCAGAGGTCAGTGGGAGCCGGTGGCGCAGGATGTCCAGGGAAGTGTGACTGCACCTTCTGTGCCTCAGCCCTTCATCTATAAAATGAGCCGTTAGACCAGATGTTCTTTAAAATCCTTTCTGACTCTAAAACTCACTTCTGTTGCCTTTCTAAGGAATATCTACAACCTCACAAAAGTCAAAACTTAAGCCCCCAAAAGATGCAGGGCTGATTGTAGAAACACCTCTAATATCTACATATCATTATATCCGTGGGTTATTATTCTGAGGAGGGAGTTGTTTGAAACTGTCTGCTACGGTTATTTTTAAATTTCAAGTCAAAAAGCTCACCTTGGACTGGCTTAGCAAATAGGGGACTTCCTGGCTCATCTCTGAAAGGTCCAGCGCCGGCTGGGCTTCTGCTCTTTCTGTCTACAATCTGCAGGTTTTGCGTTTGCCCTTGGTTCACCTTTGTCCTCACGCAGGGCTCCTTCATTGGCAGGCCGGTCATCCAAAGCATTAGGGGCTTGCTGTCCTCGAGGGAGAGATAGCACTGCTTCCATAGTCGTTGAACAAGTTTTACTTTCACACGGGTTGGTTCGTCCCTGAACTGCTCTAAATAAATACTAAGAGTTGATTGGCATGGGCCTAGGTTATCATCCATACTTAAACCAAGCACTGTGGCACAAGGGATAATATTTTAGGGATTGCTAGATGCCAATCGGAGTCTATTCCTTAGATCTGGGGGTAGATTCAGTCCTACCCAAGACTCCTGGATGCTGGGCAGATTCTCCAAAGGAAATTCTGGGTAGCGTGTCAGTCAGGACAGAACGTGTTATGCTGCAGTAGTAAACAAACCCCCCATCTTAGTGATTTGAAACAATAGAGACATTTCTTGCTCAAATTTGATGCAGATCCAACAGGAAGGCCCTGCTCAGGGGGGTCATTCCCAGGCCCAGGCTGATGGAGGCTCAGTCTCGGCACGAGCTTTCGCTGTGAGTGTGGTGCGGGGGAGAGCTGGAGAGACCGGCGCCAGCAGATACATGTGTCCACCTGGAAACGCCAGGCACCACTCCTGCCCACTTTTCACTGGGGAAAGCAAGCCAACTAGATGTCTGTCTTCAAGGGGGCAGGAAAGTGCAGTCCACCTGCAGGCCTGGACAGAGAGGAGAGCTGTGTTGATGAACAGCAATGACGTCTGACACAGCAGGAACCGATGCAGATAGGTCATCAACAAATACTCAAGGCGATACTTCTGCAATTGTAACAGAAGGATTTAAGGGGTGGCTGTGATACACTTGGAAAGAGCACCAACTTAGAGGCCGAGCACCTGGGCTGGAGTGTGATTGAAATTTGCCAGCTCTGCGTCTCTAGGCAAGGAATCTTTGAGCATCGGTTTTCTCAACTATAAAAATAGGGATGACAGTATTCATCATGCGGAGTCTTTATGTGGTCCAATGAAATAATGCATGTGAAAGTACATTGCACATTTGTAACTGCTGTGTGCTGTGTAAGAATTCTTGTAACTTTTCTTTGACTTCTACTTAAGTAAAACCTTAACATCAACACTTGTCAGTTCTGGAATGAGCTTTGGGAAGGCAATTGCTGACTCTGCCTTTGGACTTCTGTTCACCAACCTGACCCTACGCTACTCTCCGCAAATGTAGGATGATAGAAATGGTTCTGATTTTCCAAATAGTCTCCTGGGGGAAAATGTTCCTCTCTCTCATTTGTACTTTTATTTCACACTGTGTCAGCAGTCTATTTCCTCACAGATGATATATAGTTTTAATTCTGTAAAGGTTTTGGTAAAGTGAGGACTCTGAACTCTCCAAGAGGGGCAGGTGGGCTGGAACATGGTATGATGGCGAAGGTTGCTTCCTGAAGCATGAAGATCTGGGTTCCATTCAGGGTTTTGCTACCTGGGAGCTGTCGGACCCCAGGCAAATCCCCCAGTCAATTCAGCCTCATTTTGGTAATATGTAAAGTGCAGATAAAAATTCCAGCCCCATCTTCCACTGAGGATTTTTGAGAGGATAAAGGAATTAGTGTTCCCATTATATATCCCCAAATATTCATTGACTACTTTCAAGGTGGGAACCAGGCACTGAGCCAGGTGCCGAGGGTAAATCAGTTAACTGGACGTGCAGGATGCCAGCATGTGTGCGAGGCCCGTTTGGTTCTCTGGGGGGAGGCTGGGGGGCCTAACCTCATGGGTCTCGAGCACTCTGGCTGTTGTGTGTACTTTAGACATGGCAGTATGTGAGGTGGGAAGGTGGGGAGAATTCAGGGGAAGATGGGCGCCCCCAATGGGTCACACTGACTGCTCCCCTCCAGTTCCCCCTCCCACTTTCGGTAGGTGGTAATAGGGGTGGGTGGGGACCCAGTGATGGGAGAGCAGAGAGTGAGTGTGTGACAAGGGTATTCATCCTGAGGGCCCTGACGGGCATATGGCAGCGTCCTCGGCGTGGTGGCTTACCTGTACAGGTAGTAAAGGAATGCCCTTCTGGGGTTTTGTAAAACGTTCTTTCGACCCAGTTTCCCAGTTTGGGGGGAGCAAGGGGCGAGTTTTACAATAGTCTCTTCCCTGGAAGTCGTGTCACTCCACCTCCTGAGTAAGTACTGTGCCTTTTGCTCTCGCGGAGCGCTCCAGGGAGGTCTCCATCCCTTCGCGGCTCTGAATCAGCCGCTGCTCCCCTGATGGTTTTGCTGGAGCAGGGCTTAGGGTGAGGGCTCATTAGATAGTGCCTGCGAATCATTTGGAGTTCCCTGGAGACGGGCGCCTCTCGATGTATTATTAATAGGGGCGAGCACAGTGTTTCCAAACAAAGACGCGCCTACTTAAATACCTGGGGTCTGGGGGAGGGAGGGCAGAAGGGAGGGCTGGAAAGCAGACCCAGCCAAGAGAGCCCATCCTTCGGGAAGGCCTTCAGCCCCGTCACGTGATCTCCGGGGTGGCGGCCGTGGGCAGGGACTGTCAGTATGACGTGGATAGTTGTGGAGCATCCCCTCAACAGGCAGTACTCGTGTGGACAGTGCGGACAGGGCACTGGTCTGTGACGGGGCCTCTGAGGAGGGAAATCAGTTAGTCTGGCCAGGCTGTGCCCCCGAGGGTGGTTTCCAATCGAGGAGACTGTACCAGCTTCTGGGAGCACTGCCTGCACCGGCATTCCCCTGAGACAGATCCCTCTGCTTTAGCTGGTGCTGTTTCCTAAGAGAAGCAGGGAGATGACCTTCCTGGATTAAGCCCTGCTCCTCCCAAAGGCTGGGGTGCACCCCATGCAGATTTCAGTATCGAATGGCTGGATCATTAAAGGACTGATCTGAGGAGGCCAACTCCTATTGTTACGGAGTCCAAGCTCGTTCTGCTCACCGCATGGCAGGCCGGTAAATCAGAGACGAGGTGTTGAGGAAAGGAATATGACTTTATTCGGAAAGCCGGCAGACTGAGAAGATGACAGACTAATGTCTCAAAATAACCATCTTATCAGGGTCTGGATGCCAGTTTCTTTTATAGAATCAGAGAGAGAAATAAAGTAAAAAGGCAGAATAGAGAGGGAGAGGTGGGGAGGAAGTAAAG